AAGTGGTTTCTACTTTTACTTTTATACTTTAAGTAAATTTACAAGCCTGTACTTTGTTACTTTTCCTTGAGTAAAGAAGTTTAATCAGTACTTCCACTTTTACCAGAGTATTTTTTAACACAAGTATCTGTACTTTTACTCAAGTACGGAAAGTGAGTACTTTTGCCATCTCTGTACGACGCTGACTCGCTCAGCCGTATTTTTTTTTCTTCTCCCGTTTCAGTCAAGTGGCAGTGATGACGGAGGCGTCGGATGACGCATTAATCGCGTGACACAACTAATCGATGATGAAATTCGTTGCCAACGCTTTTAAAAGTCGCTTTTTATCGATTTTATCGATTTGTTGTTGCAGCCATAAAATCAGCCTTAACTTGGATCTTAATAAACCACATTAGTTAACATAACTAAGTACATGACACTCAGCTGTATATTACAATGTCACCAGGTGAAACCATTCCAGCTCTAGGTAAATGCAGAGAAGAAATCAGCACACAGATGGTGAAAAAAGTCTTCAGCTGAATCAAAACAAAGAAGTAAAAACTGAACCTCCAGAGCCTCATAAAGACAGGAAAAAAGTCAGCCTTCTGTCACCTACAGAACATCTACAGGATTAAAGAACTAAAATCTCAGTAGCCTTGAAAAAGTAACACCCACTTCATTCTCTTTTAATAGAATTATTCCCTGCAGCGGTGTCTTCACAGGTCTGCCTAAAAAGTGGATCTGACAGCTGCAGCTGATCCTGAACGCTACTGCCTGTGTCCTCACTAGAACTAAGAAAGTAGAGAACATCAGCCCAGTTGGAAAGTCCTACACTGTCTCCCTGTATTTCAGACAATAGACTTCAAAATATTTCTGTTTGCCTATAAATCATTGAATGACTTAAAACCAAAATACATTACAGACTGGTTGTCAGTGTATCAGCCACACCTCTCAGGTCTGCTGGATCGAATCTACTCTTTATCCAGAACTAGTTTTTTTTAATATATAATCATCGTATTTAATATTTATTAAATTTTATTCTCTCAAATTAGTTGGGTTTCATCACTTGCACTATAATGCACTTTTCTTTCTTTTCATGTACATTACCTTGAATTGGCTTGCGATAGGAATTAGTTTTTTTTCCTTAAAATGAGATCAATTGATATTATGCACTTGAATCTAGAAGCATATATTATAATTTGAAGTGAATAATATCTAGTAAATGATTTCCAATGGCAGATCATGACATTAATCAGGCAAGGCAAGTATTTAATATTCCTTTTCAGTGGTAAGAAAACAATAAAAATAGAGCCAATGTAATTATCGTTTTTGTCCTTAGAAAAAGATCAGAAATCAGATTTTTTTTTCTTATTTTAAATGAAAATGAACTTATTGAATTAATAAAATTCAGCCACCTTCTATCTGGTTGAAACTCTGTAAAGTACCTTGAGATGACATGTTTTGTAAATTGGCACTATGTAAATAAACTGAATTGAATGTACCGTAAATTCTCTAATATTGGCCTGTATTCCAATAGCGGCCGG